ATGTGACAATTTTTTTTAGCAATCAGGCTCGCCCTGGACTTTTTAATTTATGGAAAGTTGCATCAAACTCAAAGTAATAAATTTCGAAAAGTAAATTATAAACACTCACGAGATTCATTGATGTAGCCTTTCTCCTGAACTTCGACTTTTTTTTGTCTGTTTGTGAGATCGTCGAGTCGGCATTTTCCCTTGAATATAATTAGTGAGCGGGTCTTTTTGCCTTCCACCGTGACAACGGCGGTGAAGCCTCTTTTTTCGGAACTTGTTGTTTTTATATGGATGGTTTTTACACCCTCGTGCTCAAGTGTCCGACTACCTGGCATATCAAATCGCAGCGGCATCTCATCCATATTATAGACGTCGCTAAGAGGATAGCCATGTCGCTGTCTCAACTGAATAATGTATCGTTGGAATTGTTCGATCTTGTCTTCAAAGTTCGAAGGAAGCTTTTGTCCAATGGAGGTACGCACGCGAGTTGACAGCGCGTGACGTTTCTTAAATGAATGAAGCCATCCATCTGAAGCTTTGAATGTGCCGTCGGTAGTGATACGTCTTGCCTGCATTTGAAGCTGACGACCAGAGATAGCATTGCCATTTTTTCTATGCCCATCAAACCACTGCATAAGGTTTTCATCCAGACTGGTGTTTTTCACCTTACAGCCGGCACCTGGTAATCGCACGACGCTTACTGGAGTACAGTTGATCTTTTGCCCGAATCCACTGGCGAACTTGTTTCTCGTTGATCACAAAATGATCAGCCGTTTTTCGGTTGTTTTTGGACTCAAGTGCCATAGATACAACTTTCAATTTGAAAGCAGCATCGTAAGAAGAACGGCGATTAGACATCGTTGTGGAAATAAATATATAATAAAGTAGCGTTGCGAAAAAAGTATAATAATGTAGAGCAGTATGGAAACTAAACTCGAGAATGATTTAGCTGTGTATTAAGGGGTTTATATTAGCTGAATTTATTGTATTGTAAAACGTTTCACCCAATCATGGACAGGAAT